GGTAAGTAAGGTGTTGCATCACTTTATTATTAAGCATAGAAACTCTAAATGATTCATCTTCGTGTTTACATCTTCATTAACTGGATAAATTGTGAGTAAATAGTCGACAATTTTCATCTTGCACCGGGTCAAATTTACATCAGAAAGATATTAGCCTACTCGTGCCCAAGGCACGAATATGTCTAATATTCTTTCAGCACGAAACCATGAAGTAAAAAAAAACCACCAAATATTGCTAAAATTAAACAATGATTTATGATAGAATTGTTTATTTCTTAATTTTCACCCTTCAAGAATCATTATATCATCTTTTTTTCACAAATATATTTTCTGAAAGGTATTTTTAAAGAAAAATGATCCGAGAGGTTACCGGTTTTTATAGAAAAACCGGATATAATGCTCAAATAATTTAAAAATAATGGTTACAAATTATACTGTATGCTCTACTCCAGATTAACGATTATAATATAAGCTTAGAATGCCATCAAATCTGATAAAATTAAGACATTGATGCTATAGAACTCGTTCGACGTCAACCTATTGTGATGTAGAATTAACTATACCCCTATAAATGATCAGGAAATACGGAAAAAGTCTGAATAGTTACGAACTTGCCAGGTGATTATTATTATTTTAGTTAGGTTTAAGTGTACGTTTGAAGTGCCACAGGCTACTGTCGAGCTTTAGATAAGTCTATATAATCAGTCAATCAGTGAAGCATCCTCCCTCCAATATGCTTGGAGCGAGTAACAATGTAACTAATCTCTTCCGCATCACCTTCTACGAAAAGGAATTTAGTACAAATCTTCAAACTCTCTTAAAAATTTTCCTACCTTATAGTTTTCTTATGTTAATTTCTATTTCCTTATAAAATAACAACGTTTATAAAGTGGGCCAGCAATTGTCAGTACATCATCAACATCCTTCATCTTTGACCAGAATGAATCGAATATATAGAGGATGTCCTCCAGCAATTTTTGATACAAGGACCTCTTTTGACGACAATATTTCTTTTCTAACCACATTCAGGTCTTACATTCTCTAGTAAAAGATCCTCAATCTATTGACCTCGTAGTTACATAACGTAGAATCATCTACATACCTATTAGCCTATATTAACATATAGGAAAAAATGTAACATAAAACATAATAATACCTCACGATTTTATGCTAATTACTTAATATTTCATAAACTATTTAATATAGTTTAAAGGGTTTATTTTAATTTATTATATATCTTAGTTTTCGGAGTGTAGGATAGGTTAGAGTTATGTTTACGTGTTATTTTTTTCTACTTTTAGCCTATATATCTAAGCAATGCCCTGGAAAAAAAACACATCCAATTGCAGACATACAGACATACGTTTCAATTAAGGTTGTTTCCCATCTCGAGCGTAGTTAAAAACCACCAACCTGTTCACTTACCCAACCAGTTTTTTGTCATAAGGTGCCAAGATCTACATTCCTTCTATCCTGTAAGTATCCTACAATTTATCTATATATATTTTTTCCTTAAATAAAATTAAGATAAAACTATAATTAGCATCCTTTAAGACTGTATCCTTCTCCATACTTTCGTGTCTTAACGAATAGAAAAATAAATAAATAAANTTAAAATCCTGCATTTTATGTGGTTCCAACTAGGTTGGATTAACCTTCTAGTCCAGTGACACTGCTGGAAGGATCAAGTTAGAGGGGCTAAATATTACATTAGCTTTAAACTAGTACATGTATAAATACTTTATATAAAATTTATAGGAATGTTTTAAGCTTATAACACATACTAGTTCGTCAGATAGTGTATTAACCAATAGACTAAAGGGGTGGAGAATAGAAATCGCTCAACCATTATTTATCATAATGTTATCATTCTATACTGTACGATACCGGTTACGCTCCTACGCAGTTACTTCTACAGAAATTCGTAACTTGTTACGATTTACAAGAATCGATTTTAAACATACAAACGTACGGTACTTACTGTACGAGTTATAGAATCGATACGACTTAAGAATCGATTGTTAAATTAGATTTATTGTGTTAATTACGGCTAAAATCGGTGGCTAATTTAAAAAAAATATTGATGACTTACCTGTAGTTGTGACTTCCCTTAAACACTGCAATACGTTAACACGGTAGAGTGTCCACATAAAATATCGTAACTGCAGTTATAAGTGATATAGAACGGGAGCCTGCAGGGAAGTAACCGTTTGTCTGTACGTGTTGCGTACGTTGTGCGCCCAGCTGCTCGTGCTGTGTCGTTAAAAGCCCAACCCTTCTAGTCAGAATGTCGCAGTAGTATTGGAGGACTGGATGCGGAAGAAGCGGTCGGGCGCGCGCCTGGAGCGATCATTCAGTCGCCTCTCATTTGCTCGCTGACTACTCGTAGTCTATGCTGATTGGACGGTTGCGGGGAGGCGGAATCTGCGTGTGATCGAGCACACAAGGCGGCAGCTGAGCAGTTCGGTCGTATCTAGCTGCGTGGGGTGGAGACAAGCCAATTGTATCTATTGGACGATCCTTTTTTTCTCGTTTATCAAACAGGGTTATCTTACGCTCGGCCATCTTGTGTTCTGCAATGATTAGAGAAGGAAAAAAAATCCCCCTTACGTATTACTGCCGGGGGCATTGTAGCGGTAACTGGTTCCACTACATATTAAACATTATTGATACGAAGTAATAGTCGATTCGAGATGAAGACTTAGCTCATAATCGTGTGAACGTAATGAACTTTCTCCATTTTACTTCCACCCGGTTTTAGAAACAACATTGAATATATAATTTAAAACGGGGGGAAAATCATTTATAATATTATTTATTATCGCTTCTAGTTGCAATTTATAACTTTGTAACAAGAGAGGGGTTAGTTTAATCCAACTTCCTAGCATCTTCCCCGAGTTATGCCACGAAGCTCCAAACCGGGTATGAATTAAGCTAAATTTTAAGGGTTTTTTTTATTTTTTAAATAAATAAATAAATATAAAATTAAACGTTTATGATAAAAGTATACGCGTGGCATTTATTTCGCCATTATTTTAAATTACGAAACGGGTAACGAAGCGTGAAACTGGATTTTGTCATTGCATTGCTTATTATATGCTGATCCCGCGGAGAAGGTGATTAAATGAAAACAGAAAAATAAAGTAAAATAAAATAAAATAAAATAAAATTCAAATTGATGAAATCGTCATTAATGTTGAATTGTGACGCAACAAAATTGCCGTTGAATTTGAAATTATACTGATACGTCATGTAATAGTGATTGTGTATTATGAGGTATTTTTCAGATGGAATAAATGCTATTGTGTTTAGTTTTTTGAGTTAATTTAATAGGAATTTTTTATCATTAACGAATCATACAATAAAATTTAAAAAAAAATTCAAGAAAACCTTTAATTTAACTCCTTTTTTTTGTACACTTAAGAAAGGGAGGGAAGTGTTTTAAAGACTTTAGAATGCCGGTTTAATATAATATTAAAAAAATTATTAAAGTTACGTCTTATGTTTTATCCAATTTAAGTTATTTTATCAAATTTTATCCCTTTAACTCCGCAGAAATTAAATAGAAAACATTTTCTATCTATTTCACTACAGCTGTAATGAAATAGAAGATATTTTTGTGTATATTAAAACACAGCTGAAGTGTAATAGACACAAAAATATGTTTTGCTTCTCTTACACTAAAGCTGTGTTGAAATATACACAAAAATCTTGACTTTTAACAATGAAAAATGGAGATCTTTTGTGTCTATTACATTACAATTGTATTAAAATAGACAAAATTTACAAGAAAAGTTCGTGTGAGAACTTTTAGTATCTAAGATCTTAATGTATGCTCTCTCTCTTACTGTTTAACATCTCGTTGTTTCGTTAATTATAATTTTTCTATGGGACTTTTTACAAATCTGATCTCTTTAACACCTAACTAAGGAAGAATAGTTAGATAAGTGGCTTAATAATAATAAAAAAAATCTCATCCGATCCGGGTTCTGTGAACTTCTTCTCATCTGGGAGCGGAAGTCCACCCGCGGTGCATGACGTTCCACTTTCCGGTGTGACATCACAAGGTGTTATCTATCGGTGCCCTCTAACTCGACCTCTTACATTTTCATCTGCTCCAGACTTGGATTCTATTGGAAATTTTCTTTCTTCTAAATATTTTTTCAACGACATGAAGCAATTTTTCGATTCGATCATTTTCTTTCGCTTTTCGCACGCACCGCGCTATTGTGAATAATAACAGTAGACCAACAACTGAGATTCTTAATGAGAAATAACAGCTTTAATCTCGTGTAGGATTTTGCGGTCCACCAATTACATTAATAAGCTGTTTACTACACACATACATCGTTATAAAATTATCGCGTATCCTTCGAACTGTCCCATTGTCAAATGTTTCGTAAATAAAATCTTTTCAAGGACAGACAGACCCCCGTACTGAAACATAATTAAGGTATATCTATATTAAAAAAAACATACATTTACATTCTAAATGTATATAGAAGCTTATGATGCTGCAATTTTCTATAAAACTGCAACAAACTTGCACACGAAATAAAACTTTCTTTAGTCTCTAATACATATAATTTATAGATTTTTTAGCATCCTAATTAATTCTAGAATGGTTATATATGAATATTTAATCTATAAGCTTACAGTCTATAGACTTATTAACCTAAAAATGCAAGTAATAAAGCTTATGCAACCTCACAGACTATACATTATAAAGCTTTAGATCTAGAATTAATCAACAATTCTAGAGTAGTAAAATGATGTTGGAGTGAATCAATAGAGAATTATCTCTTACTCACATCTCATGGTTTTATATATTTAATAATTACAGATAAATATATATATATATATATATTTATAAGGTCGAAAGTCGACGTGGAACGAAAGTTGGCAGGTGTTTGCTATATACACACATACACACCTATATATATATACAAATATATAACAAAATTCATTGTTTACTATATGAAAGACCGCCTGGGTTGTGAAGAGAACAAGCGGAGATGAGGTCTGCAATATATGTACCACGTGATCGACTACAAATGAAATGAAATTTATATAGTGATAAAATGCATATACACCCTCATCTATAATGTTTTATATATGAAGCCTGAGAACAAGTAAGTTCGATTTTATCCGTGATTATATTGATTTTAATTTATTAACGTAAGTAAATCATTTATTATTATTTTATTTTTTAATCTTCAGGGTTTTGTAAGAACAATATTAATTGTTTCATTTCCGTTGTGTCAAAATAATTTTTTTAATTATTTTTTTTAAATAACGGGAAGATTTTTAGGCATTTAAATCAAATAGAAAGCTATTGAAAGGATATGAGGAGTCATAGCTTGGAGATGAGCTAAATAGGAGATTTTAGAGGAGTAGGAGAGGATGCAGAGGGCTATGATAAGTCATAGTTATAGGTGGGTTTATGAGAAGATACAGAAAGCTACGAGAAATAATTACAAGAGGTGGGCTTAATAGAGATGTTACATAGGATTATAAGAGATTATGTAGTCTTTCCTATAGGTAGGAGAGTTATGAGAAGTCTTATTTAAAGGAAATAGCGAGGTGGTTTAAGAAAGGATTCAATTTAATGATAATAAGTTATAGGTGAGAGAAAGCTGTAAAAATTATATATTTTAATAGATAAAAAAGTATGTAAAAACTAAGAAAAAGTTATATTTATAATATATTAAAGTAGTAGAAAGAAAAGAAGGTCAAAATAGAAAGTTTTAAACCTTTTAAAAGCAATTATGTTTTTAATAAGTTTAACTTTAGCAAGATTGCTCATTAAATTAACACATTTTCGTCATTAAATGACGTAATTTTCGAAGTTTATTTGTTAATTCGTACAGTATACAACAGCTCATTGCACCCAACGAATAATTTATACGACTTCTAAAGTCATTAAATTTCATAAATTTGAAATGTTATAAATGATTGATATTATACCCTAAAATAATATGCTACTGTTTAATGACGTATGTTAATTTTAAAACTTCACACATCCTGCATTTTATGATTTTTCTCTGTTTGTTATTCATATAAAATATATTAAATACGAATAAACTTTTTTCAATTTTAAACATCTGCAGCTTATGTTCGAAAACATTACGAAACTTTTATGGCACATTTAAATTAGTTTTATAATTTATCATATGCCTACTTTAAAGGGTAATTTTTCGTTAAGATTTTATAAAATTAGTAAAATTTAAAAATTTAATTTAATAATTTTATTAAAATCATTAAAAATTCGACTCGTTTTTATATTCGATTTACAGTTAAAATATTGTTTGTTTTATGAATAAAATCTATAAAAATATAATTTAAAAACTTTATAAAATCTTTAATTATACTTTTATTTCTTAGTTATAATTAATAAAAGTCAGGATTCTTTGTAAAATAAAAAGAAAATTCAACCAGAAAGTAAGCTTCTCTGTTTAACTTGCGAAAGTGATTCGGGTAAATACTAAAACGTGTCTTGAAATCACGATGATTTACCCTCCCCTCTCTAAATCCCTATCTATACCTGTACAACAACGTGATTAAGAGTAGACAGGTGAGATGTAAACTCACCTGTCGTACCTGCTGACATCTGGAGAACGTCCTTCTTTAACTTCACCTGTTCAACTCCCGTTAGTTTATAATTCACCCCCTTAAGAAGAACCTCTTCGTTTCTAGATAATCATCAACCGATAGGGACTTTTGTAACTTAAAAAAACAATATATAAATATCACCTGCATTTAATTTTTTAATTACAATTCCTAATTTTTTATTTTCTTTATATATATATATATATACGAACTTCCTTTATTTAAATATAAGAACAAATGTAAAATTAACATAAAAATAAGTTAAATATTATATAAAAATTCAAAACTTTTAATTAAATTTATAACAGAAGGAGATAAATGCAATAAATTCCAGGATGTTCTACCTCTTAACAATGATATACAATAGTAAAAAAGTATGCAACCGATAGACATTTTTTGGAGTTAAAAATCTATTAAAAAAAATATATTTCAAATAATCAAAGTTAATTAATTAGATTTATTTAAAATAATTACTTTTTATTCTAAAAAAAACGTGAATGAAGAATGGAAAAAGTGGACGTTCCTCTTTACATTTTTTTTTGTTCGTTCGTATGTCTGGATGTTGCAAAAGATTTTGTATGTGTCAAACTTTCCAGCAATATCCTGTGTATTTTTTTATTTGTATTACATACTTTCCAGCTTTTCTGCACAGAATTTCAATCAAATGGAGTGTTTATTTAATTAATAACATTTAACTAAATTTAAAATAAAATTTCCCATTCACTTTTATAGATTAAACTCAAATAATACTTTAAAAAATCTCATAAAACTTTTGCGTATTTTTAACCATTTAATCGTTATTTAAATGACTTTTTTATTGCCATATTTTTGAATATTTATTCAATAAATTAATTAAAATATTCATTAATAAACAATTATAAGAATTAATTGTATTTTTTTTTATGACAAATTAATTGTATTTACGTGATTATTTATTAATGAATTATTAAATATTCATATAAAAAAATCGGGTTTTTACCTCTTCTGAGGGAATTTTTAAACACCTAAACAAGCAAATTTAACACTTGATTAAAGGTGTTTTACCACTTACACTTTAATTTAGTTTCCTTGCCGGAGGTTTTCTGGTTTTTCTTGAATTATTTGTTTAAAAAAACTACTACATTTTAAATGATTTTCTATCGATTTAACCTTTAAAAAATCGAATTTTCTTCTATTTAAGGGTGTAGAAAAGTAAAACGTAAATGATGATTTGTAACTAAGTAAAGACTCACCTGAGTGGATAGAGCAAGGTGTTGTCGACCAGATCCTTTGTAATAATGACAGGTAGACGAAGTTTTAGTTGGGTGTTGGTACTCGCAGTCGAAATCTATCAAATGCCGAAATATCGGTATGAAAACCACGTGTGAGGGTGGTGAAAATTTTCACTTCCTCGTGCGATGGGCGCACCCACATCTCATCAGAATTAGCTCGGAGCAATTTCTTTTTATTTTTTTGAAGCTGCTTTGCAGCTGACACGAGTTTTCTGAAAGTTTTCTAGGCGAAAACACAATAAGACACTTTCAAAATTCGAATTGAAAGACGTAAGAGGAAATATTTGAATGATAAGCAGTTTCATCCTTCATCATGATGAAGGAATTACACTTGATAATTATCTATTTTAATACCTAAATATATATATATATATATTTTTTTTAATGTAAAAATAGTGAGAAATAATTAAAAATCGATACGTAATTAATTATTTAATGTAGTAGCAAATAATTAAAGAGATAAAAAGTTGACAAGCGGTGATAAAACAGAAGGGAGAAGAACATTGCCATGATTTCATTCTAGAGGTCAAAGTTCAAACATTCTGATTGGACAGTCGATCGTTCTACGACTTCATCTTAAACTAGAGACAAGTTTTCGAATTAGTATCGTTTCCTGTCTTTATTTATCTGGTTATTCTATCTGTTCCCCCCTTCTATGGGATGCAGAAGTGTGGATGGTGACATTGTTGATGTTCCTGCCTTCAGGCTAGTGTCGATCCAACGTCATTTACGAACGGCTATTTTTATTTTTTATTTTTTAATTATTTTTTTACTTTTATTTTGTTTTTATAAAGACACACTAACTGATGAAGTTGTAATATTTTATTGATGACATGGAAGCTCTTTCGTGTATGTATTTTTTTTTTTATTAATTTTTATTAACTTTTCGCTTCTTAAAACCTAATTATAGTCTATATATATATAATTTTAAATGAAAATAATTTTATTTTTCGTGCCTTAATTGAGTTTTTTTTATCATTAAAAACCTCTTTAGATATATACTAATTTATTCAGAAATGACAAATTTGGTGTGTAAAATTGGATTTTTATTAATTTAAAAAGTCGTAAAATAAATGAATTTATTTATTTTTTTTCGAAATTAAGTGGAATGATTCGTAAAAAATCATTTATTTTTCTTCATTTCTGTCATCGCCATGCTAAAATTATCATCGGAAAGCATCTAAACTTTAATTAAAAAAATCGATTTTCATAATTAAAATATCGTTAATAAGCAAAATTATAATTTAATAATTTAAAATAAAATATTTTATTATTTATTTAATTAATATGGCATATAATTTCTTAAAGAAAATCCTTGAATTCATCAAAAAAGAAAGTCATCTACTATCAACTACCATTTAAAAGAAATCCCTATTAAACTTTGTATTTTTGATCATTTTTACGTATAAAGATCATTTCTGACCATCTAAATTACCTTTTTAAAGCTAATATTTACTATTTAGATCCATTAATAAGTTCTAAAAAAAGTCGAATCGAGTTATGTTTGTCTTTAACTTGGGTTAGATTGTTTGGATAGGCAATTAAAGCTAAACAATATTATTTTTTTTTTTTTACGATTTCTATGTAAAAATAACACATAACTCATATAGTTTAAAGGTAAACAGTAATAAAAGTACTTAAAAATCACCCCTTTATAGGTAAAGAAAGAATTTCTCAACTCATAAAGAGTGAATTTCTTTGACGAAAGTGCTTTAACTAACACTAGAAAAATTTGCATTTTAATTATTTATTTTAACAAATATCTTTATTTTTAAAGCTAATTATTATTATATATACTTTATAATTTATTATCTATTGTATTTTTATTCTGTTATATTTATTTGTAGTTCTTTAAAGGAGAAAAATGTCAAGGCTGAGCAAACAATATTGTGACTCGTCATGCTGACTCGTTTACCTTTATTATTATTATTATTATTATTTTTTTCTTTTATCGTATACTTTCATGGCTTTATTAATTGCTCATTGCCATAATTTATGGGTTTACTCTACGTATAAATCTTAATTTTGTTGTAAATTTTAGTATTTCTTTAGATTCTCCATGAGTCAGAATGAGGGGATGTCATAGAGAAACGATGGTTTGTTAATTGTATATACGTAACATCTGTTGGTAAAGAACGAAATCTAACGTCCATATCCGCCTCTGATTGTTCTCTAAAATAATATAACATGGTAATTTTCCCTACTTCAACAGTTTATGGAGTCGAAAATGTTTTCTCCATACGCCATAGACAAAAGAATTTCTCTTTTTATGGTCGTTGTTACAAGTAAAGAGATTGCTTGAAGCAGATGGCATTCTAACCACTTGGTCTAGACGTTTCTATACGTTTTTTTGCCCCCCTTTTGTCCCTTTTTTTTCTATTTTTAAATGATTATCATAAACGGAACTTACCAGTTGCTACTCTGTAGAAATATGTTTATAGATAAATAGTTGAAAAATACCTGGTTTGTTGTATCATTTCCTTTCATAAACTCGGATGATTTTCATGGAATTTTCACGTTACACGTTCGATTTACTTGTTACGAATGTTACGACTTTTATTTCTAGAAAGTCATAAATTACATTCTTTTAAGAAGATTTTTGATATATTTTAAAAGCTTAAAATTGTTTAAATTTATTATTTTTCATAATTATTAATGTCTTTACGAGTTAATAATGATATATATATATAAAATCAGTAGGCTTTTTGTACTAAAACTAAGTAAATTATGAATTAATTTCGCATATAAGCAGTTCTTTACATGAAATTTTCATGAATCGAGGACGTTTAAGCATAGTTAATGAGATAAAAATGTAAAATTTGGCATAATTCCTACTAATTTTCGTCGAAAATTGAGGTTATAAATAGCTTTTCATAGCATAGAATCAATAGTTTTAGTATGGATAGGATGAACCGTCGACGTGGTAAGTAAGGTGTTGCATCACTTTATTATTAAGCATAGAAACTCTAAATGATTCATCTTCGTGTTTACATCTTCATTAACTGGATAAATTGTGAGTAAATAGTCGACAATTTTCATCTTGCACCGGGTCAAATTTACATCAGAAAGATATTAGCCTACTCGTGCCCAAGGCACGAATATGTCTAATATTCTTTCAGCACGAAACCATGAAGTAAAAAAAAACCACCAAATATTGCTAAAATTAAACAATGATTTATGATAGAATTGTTTATTTCTTAATTTTCACCCTTCAAGAATCATTATATCATCTTTTTTTCACAAATATATTTTCTGAAAGGTATTTTTAAAGAAAAATGATCCGAGAGGTTACCGGTTTTTATAGAAAAACCGGATATAATGCTCAAATAATTTAAAAATAATGGTTACAAATTATACTGTATGCTCTACTCCAGATTAACGATTATAATATAAGCTTAGAATGCCATCAAATCTGATAAAATTAAGACATTGATGCTATAGAACTCGTTCGACGTCAACCTATTGTGATGTAGAATTAACTATACCCCTATAAATGATCAGGAAATACGGAAAAAGTCTGAATAGTTACGAACTTGCCAGGTGATTATTATTATTTTAGTTAGGTTTAAGTGTACGTTTGAAGTGCCACAGGCTACTGTCGAGCTTTAGATAAGTCTATATAATCAGTCAATCAGTGAAGCATCCTCCCTCCAATATGCTTGGAGCGAGTAACAATGTAACTAATCTCTTCCGCATCACCTTCTACGAAAAGGAATTTAGTACAAATCTTCAAACTCTCTTAAAAATTTTCCTACCTTATAGTTTTCTTATGTTAATTTCTATTTCCTTATAAAATAACAACGTTTATAAAGTGGGCCAGCAATTGTCAGTACATCATCAACATCCTTCATCTTTGACCAGAATGAATCGAATATATAGAGGATGTCCTCCAGCAATTTTTGATACAAGGACCTCTTTTGACGACAATATTTCTTTTCTAACCACATTCAGGTCTTACATTCTCTAGTAAAAGATCCTCAATCTATTGACCTCGTAGTTACATAACGTAGAATCATCTACATACCTATTAGCCTATATTAACATATAGGAAAAAATGTAACATAAAACATAATAATACCTCACGATTTTATGCTAATTACTTAATATTTCATAAACTATTTAATATAGTTTAAAGGGTTTATTTTAATTTATTATATATCTTAGTTTTCGGAGTGTAGGATAGGTTAGAGTTATGTTTACGTGTTATTTTTTTTTACTTTTAGCCTATATATCTAAGCAATGCCCTGGAAAAAAAACACATCCAATTGCAGACATACAGACATACGTTTCAATTAAGGTTGTTTCCCATCTCGAGCGTAGTTAAAAACCACCAACCTGTTCACTTACCCAACCAGTTTTTTGTCATAAGGTGCCAAGATCTACATTCCTTCTATCCTGTAAGTATCCTACAATTTATCTATATATATTTTTTCCTTAAATAAAATTAAGATAAAACTATAATTAGCATCCTTTAAGACTGTATCCTTCTCCATACTTTCGTGTCTTAACGAATAGAAAAATAAATAAATAAATAATTGTTATTATACAAATTAAAGAAACCGAGTTTATAAATTATTAATTTATAGATAAAAATCTAGATAAAGATAGTAAATAATTAGAAAAATGAATAATAAAAATTGTATTGTTCGATTCATTTAAGTTCTCGACGGGGGTTTTTCTGAGAAAAATTATTAATGAGTGCAAACCTCTAAAACCAATCTTATCACGTTTGTTAATAATACAGGCTATCATTTTTATTACCAAGTGTGTTTTTTTTAAAGGAAGGAAAGGTTATCAACACTCAAAATATATATATATATATTTAATTTACTTAAGTAGAACCTCTAAGGGATAGGTTCGACTATAATCAGAGTAATTGCTCCTCTGTTTATGATCAAAACCAGACATATAGTTATTTATGGAATGTGAAATACTTTGCTTTAAAAGCAATAGAATGTGTAGAAGGAATTCCTACTCCAAGTTTATTTCTAGATTGTACAGAATAGTTATTATTTCAAAGCTACCGCGTGCTGCTACAAGTTGTTTTCTTAGAAACCAACGATTGCGTTCTCTTTGACCCTTCCTTTTATTTTCTTTAACACACACACATAGAAAAAAACTTGATAGCAGGAATGTTACCTCAGTAATAAACTTTCTCTTATGTTTAAATAGCGAAAGTAGTCTAAATTCTTATATTAAACGCCTTTATAATTCATACCGTTATAGGTATTAAGGGTTTTAGATCTTCTTACCTTGCCAAAATTGGCATTTTTTTTATGACCTAAACAGTTTTATTTTAGTTTAAATCTTCTTTATTTTTTACACGTTTTCGATCTTTCTATTGTTTTCTGCTCTGTAAAAGCTTTCGAATCGAATGGTTCCTCATTAAAATTCAAGTTACTGTTTACAGTTAAATATTGTATATTTATTGAGCTCCAGATCATAATTGGATATTAATATATACCTAAAAAAAAGGTCCTTTTATTTAAAATATTTATTTATTTAATATTTCTTGGAAAATTCTATTATATATTATTTAGCAGATAGCAATAAAATCGATAAGAATAGCCATCCTGAAGAGCAAATTTTTTATTAGCACAATACAATTACAAGTTAACAATTTGGTATGATTCTACGAAAGTGAGTCAGAGATACGAATAAATGAGGTTAGGAATTCTAACATTTTTATCAGTTAATTTATCCTAAATGGTGGTTTTGGTCCGTTTTACAACAACCATCCTAATGACGTGGTCCGTACCAACAACCTAACCACAAGTGGGTGTTTATGATCTTTTAACCAATAGTTCGTCCTCTTACATCGATTCAGTTCTTCTTTGTTTGTTTTTTTTTTAGCTGACGATATACCTTTTTTACTCCCCCGTATGTCCCTTCGAGGTTTATGGAACCATAAAACATTTGGGTGCAACGTCTGGACGTTAACGCTCTTCGAGAAAATCATGCGTGGAGAAGAGGCCCTTTCAAAAAAAAAAAGAAACCCACCTAAACAAATAAATAAAGAATATACCCGGTAGATCGAGACCCGAGGGCACTCCAATTGTCTCTTAATTACAGGGTGGACAGGAGTCGTTTTTAAAGCGTATTATGACCATTTTTACGGTGTTTTACTCCTGCATTGCTAGACTTACGCATCTGGATGACGATTGTTCAAGTTTAGAAACAAAAAAAAAAACTAAGATTTTTTAGAGAAAATTGACCTTATACACAACTACCCCTGCATCCTTCTAATTACATATTTTATCTCTTACAAATTATTTTATTAGAATAAATTACAGTTATTTCTGTATAATTGTTTCGAAGGGTTTAAATTTCACGAATTACTTACTAAACAAATGGAAGAAAACTTAATCTGTTATAGGAAATTTGCTTTGTTTTCGTCATTTTTGATGAAGTAGTTCTTTTACTAATCCCTCAATAGCCTAGTTTTGGTCCTTCCAGTTTATTTCTGGTGCCTCAAATATCGGATTTCCACATTTCTAGAGTTTTTCAAGTACCTTAATCTAAAGTTCTGTTGCCTCAAGCGGTGTCATTTTTCAAAGTTCTAGTATAAAAATATTCCCCGAAGATGTCTTTTATGGGTTATTTTAAATGTTGAAATTCTTTAGTAAAGTACTTCTAAATAATCTTCTAAACGTAATTATTAATGCTCAGTTTTCTAACACATATATTATTATTATTTTTCTATTAAGGAAATGGTCACACCCTTAATTTTAAAATGGTGTAACCTTCAATTCGATTAAAAGCTTGACAGTATTTTTAAGCGTGGGAAAGGTTTGGCATAGATTAATAAGGTTTTTATATGATATTAAGTTCAGGCGTAACCCTGAGCGTCACATGGTTGTCAATCTGGAAGCATCGATGATTAAAGATGAATGGATAAGTTAGATTATTGCCTTAAGGGAGACGAATATGGAACGAAAACCGTGGGAACAATAGTGGTTGGGCAAGTGTGACTGTAAACAAAATGTCATTCTTTTTATTTACGGTTTTACATCGTTACTCCAAACACGAATGTAGTTAAGTATCCATCTACATGTAAATTTTCAGTGTATTTTTTTATTTATTTTGTCAACTGGTGTTTCGTGTAGATCACTGACAAGGTAGAGGAGTTGACTCGTATCCACTTTTCGCGCTCGTATATTGCATATAAATCACGTAGACGTATATAAAAAATAAGGAATTATGATGTAACAGAGTGACGAAATTTAAAATTTTTCCATTTTCCATAGATGAAATGATATTGTTACCGTTGAAATGGGCAGTAACCTCAACCTCATATCTACAGGTTTATTCGACAACTTTATCTTTACTAAAGAGTAATTACAATACAACAGAATAGATTATCTCTATTACTGTATGGAAAAATGCTTTAAAAACATTCCTTAACAATAGAATTTTATTCAACAAGTTCGAGCTTTCAATGTTTTAAATTAACGTAGAAGAAATACAAAGAAGTTCACTCAGATAAATGGGAAAATATACGAAAATTTTACAGCTTAATCACAATTTTCTGGTAAATTACCTTATTACTCTACTTCATTTTTATATTGTGAAGTGTTGACACGTTCTGTACAGAGGGGTTATAAGCATTATACAAGTAAAATTTATGTTTTCTTTACTTGTTAAACGAAAGGTTTTCAATCTAGACTAAGCAATACCGCATAAGGTCATCGTCTTTAAGCTAATGAACGTTAAAAAAAAAAAAAAAAAACAAGACGAGCTTCAAACAAAATCACTAATCCTATCTACACAACCGGTAGGCCTTAGGCTACTTACACTTTTTTTTTGGCAAAGAATTGTCTTGTAATTCCATTAACTAGTTTTTAATTCGATACTTTTCAGACGACTTTATATATAAAATGAGTTCTTTATACACTCCGTGACTCTTCGTTTTCTTTTTTTTTTTTTTTTTCGACATGGCTAGGCATTAAAAATCACAAAAATTCAACACTAAACGTTAACGAGGACATTTATGTGAACGATAACATGTTAATAAGTGCAAAAAAAAGGCATTTTTGTGTAAAAATAATGGTTTATTTACGAATTTTGAATCATAAACAGACGTAAAACTATTGTTTGTGAGAGATTTCATACGTTTTATATGGAAGAAATGAAGGATTAAATGATACGTATTATGGGAGAAGTTGCCATTTTTGTTTTATTATGATGTGATTAAACTATTATTCATAGAATATATATATATTTTTTTGTATTCTCATTCACCTCTTATGCAATCTGTAAGCAATCCATCTGATTTGGCATTAAGATACGTGCTTGGATATAAGCCAAAGATAAATCAAACGATCAAGGATATTATCTTCCAGTTTCCATATTTAATCATTACTTTGTATCTTAAGAACCATTTCGTGACATTTCCAATATATTTTTTTTTGTTTTAAATGTAATTTTTACAAATAATAAGTGATGTGAGTTTGCAAAATTCAATTTAATTCTGCAAGTTCATAAATTCAAATTATGCAAAACATCATCTTCATTGTCAAGATACTCGATTTATGCATAAATGAATAATTATAATTAAAATCAGAAGGAATTAATATTAATGATAATAATAAAAATAGTATAAAAATACAATAAAATGCAAGTTCTTTATGTTTATTTTATTATTTTATATAAAAATGTATTAAGAAATTACAATTTTTATACATAAAATACACATTTGATAACAAGGCGATGATGATCAATGTTAAAATAATTATTTAAAAAAAAAAAAAAAAAATTTGCACGGTCATGAAGGCAACAGGTACGAAGATTTTTATGGAAATAATTTCAAAATTTTTAAAATCATCATCATCATTATCATCTTTTAATCATTTTTAACTATAAAAAGCGTGTATCATTCCTAGAGACTTGATGCTTTCTCCTCTTTATCTTTAAAAATACCCTATAACACTGTTGATTATTCTGTTTTATATGAATTCCATGTTGTACGAGTCACTTAGATTGTACAAATACGTGAACTGTTCATAGCCCGGCACACGTATTTGTAAAATCTAAGTGATTCGTACAACATGGAATTCATATAAAACAGAATAATCAACAGTGTTATAGGGGGTCGACTGTATTTTAAAAAAATATATATAGGAATTTCGATAGGAAAATGAATAATTTCCTTTGATATAGATCATAAATAATAATAATATAAAGAATGTTCAATTGAGAAAGCAGATGGCATGCGAGAAAAATTGTAAATACTTTAAACCAATGTTAAAAAGTGCAGGTGCTTACAGGAAAATAATAACAGATCTTACGCTAATTAAAAATAATGACTTCTACTTATTATTATTATTTTTTTAATATTATTTTTATGTATATTAAACGAACAAGCTGCGTTACGTTTCCTTTATAAATTTCTCATTTATTAATTAAGATTCGTTATTTATCCATAAGGATTTTTAGAGAGAAAGAGAGAGAGAGGAATGATGTTTTCTCTCATAAAAATGTATACTTTATGCTGTTCTAAGTTCTTGCATAAATTATCTAAATGTTCGGTTGCTGTTCACGTAATAAACTAGTTTTATTTTCCTTATTTTTCATGCTGGATGTGCATATCTCATGCCACTCATTTTATCTAAACTGCTTGGTAAAGTATCTTTCTCTTCAGTTAAAATAAAAAAAAAGTAGAATTTTAACTCTAAGAAGAACTTTGCTATTTATTCAATCAATTTTTTTGTTAATTTTAATATAAAAAAATATAAAAATTTTATCAGGAAATGCTCCATGTTAATAATTCTTCTACGGTTAAAAAGGATAAAAAAAATATATTTTCTATTACTAAAACAATGGATTTAATAACTCTATAATTATATAATCTTACTTAAAAATTTAAAAATGTGTATAAATATATATAATAATTTAGTAAATTAGGAAATTTTTCGGGGTTTAATTACATTTAATAATTGATCACGTCTATTGTTATTGTATCTGGATATATATCGTCTCGGTATTAATTTATGTTATTATGTAATAATTGAGTTGATATATTATAAATTTTTGAACGATTATCTACGACGATCGTGTCAAAATTCGAATTGATAAAACGATGACATTATCGTAAAAGATTTTCTTTGTTTTATGGTGTAGATATTGGGTGCGGTTGGTGCGACTTTTCTGCTTTAACCTCAATCTTTTTATCATCATAACTGGGTGATATGAAGAGAGAAACAGGTGGGAACCGCTAAGAAAACTCACCCTACTGCCCTTGAAGGAAGTTCTAAATCTCAGACATTACCTAGAATTACAGACGTGACTTTGGGATTTGTCTACTTTATTTATTATATCTGCTCACGTTTCAATGCTTCTTTTATAGAAAATTATCATTACAAAAGTAAAATAAATCCTCTAAATATAAAATAATTTAAATATTAACCACTATCCTGGTGATAGGGTATAAAAATACTTTTTATAAAATTCATTAGGCCTCTTGAATTATTCTCAATTTGTCATCCGTTCTTCATTGAAGGGATGAAGTAGTGCACATCTATCGTGTTAGATAATAAGGTACAGTATTATTTGAAGTGTGGTGACACGAGTTTGTTCTCCAAGAGCACCACCGCTCCTTTCATCTAACATTTGACAGATTCGTGATATTGATAAAAAGGGTCAAGAATTGTTTGATGAATACGATCCATTGATTGGATTAAACTAAATGATAAATAGCTGACATATTTTCTACAATACTCTATTAATAAATCGCAAATTCTATGAAAGTCCAAGTCGTGACGTGTAGTTAAAAAATATGCATCCACCGATTGCAATTATATGTATTTTTTTAAAAAGGAGTTTAATCATATTTTTTTCAATTGTGTGATATTTTTCTTTTTACGTGTGTGTGTATGTGTTTTTTTCTCTTTTAGTTTCCTGGATAACCCTTCGAGTCATACACCTTGCTAAATTGTTAATACACGTAGCTATGAGGCCCTTATATAGAAAAATGCTTCCAAATTTTATTAGATTTTCCGTTATTTCCGCTTCGTTTTTTTCTATTTTAAAGCATCAATGAGTCCATCTCGACACGCGATTGTGAATATGTATCAAAGTGCAACACAGCGTAACCTCTGGTAGCGGAACCTGTATACCGCCTGGCCCTCTCCCATGTCGAGTTTTATCAATAGTAATATTAATATAGACAATGGTAGGGGTGTCGTCCTCTTTCCCGTGCTTTCATAATTGGATACAGACAGACCATGTCCATCCTTGATTTGATTGAATGGTGGGAGCTTTTCCACGCACTGCTCAACATACCCCTCCTCTTTCATGGTCTCTGAACACCGACACAGGTAAAAATTTAAAGTTATTTTATACCCAAAACCCTTAAATTTATATATATATAATAAAAAAAAACGATATCTTCCATGATTCGCTTCAACCTGTTTCGCGTATCCCCCAGGGTGATTTTCTACTACGTCCCACCTTGTAGTTTTTTCCTTTAACTTTTCAGCAAGGAAATTTATTATCCGTTTATATATTTTCAAAGATATACACATGATTGATTAATAGATTTTGATTAATTCACTTGATTTATGAGGTAGTTCTTCTCCACGAGGTGTGTTGGTGAACAATTAAAGTGTATATAAAATTAAGAAAAAGTTAACAAATCTAAAAACAAATAGTTAAATTAGACTTTGAGATAAAAAAAAAATCAAGCAATTATTATCTATCTTCTAAGAAAATTGGCCAATGAATTAGTAGTCCTTGATCATTTCCTTATGTCTTTAATGTGTAATTATATGGCCGAAAGCTAACAGGAATGTATCATTACGATTTATATCTTCGTTTCTGCATTTTAATAATTAAACATAATTATTAATCGTGTGATTTTTAAATTATAATTTTACTGATTTAATTAAGTAAGATTAGCATAATTGCAATAGAATTTAATTTGCAAACAATCAAACCGAAAACAAAGTAAAAATACAAATAAATAAATAAATAAAAAATGAAGTGGAATGTTTGATCAAAAGATATCAACTAATCATTAAAATGATATCACTCAACGAATTATTTATGTTATATCTATGAAAGAAATAAAAAGTATGAAGTCCCAAGCACGTGTTTAACTTTAAATTGCGTGCCTTCTTGTATATCTTTAACCAATTTCATGATACATAAATAAGAACTGGTCAAGGTTATCAATTATTTATCGAACGAACACAACATTTTTACACTCTTTTTTTTCGATAATCATGCTTAACAATTGTTAAATTTTAGCTCACTTCCTCTTCTAACAGGTTTCATTGTCATTTTTATAAGCCAAGAAAGATAAATAAATCGAGAAAAATTAAGTTTTCGAAAAAATTATATGTTAAGAGCATTTTCCACTTTATCTTCTGAGAAAATCTGCATATAATCGTTCAGATTTTTATTCTCCTAACAGAAAAAATAAGTCATTAATATTATTTTTATTAGATTTTCTAAATAGATAGGAATTTTTATCAATTTTTCCTACGTAATTTCAGATCAGAAAATACCTTTTTTTTTTGTGTATAAATTAGACAAGACATGAGCACTTTTATCAAAGAAGAAAGTGTAAACTGGTATAGACTAGTATAAAGAATTATTTTTTAAAATCAAATATATATATCATCTAAAGAATTATGTGTCCCTTCTATTAAAATAGCGATTTAAATCTAATTTTTGCTAATTGATTTCGTATTAAAATTTTTCCTATTGGCAAACGTTCAAGGTTATATTATTAAATTTGTAAGGTAGGATTCCACGTAACCTGCTCGACTCTTAGTAATTACTAAAGGTGAATTTGTGCTGTGAGAACATTTTAAGATGACACTTGGGAACCTAAATTTATTTTTTTTATTAATAAATTACCTCATCCTAGTTCCGTTGGGCGGTTATTTTGATAAAACAAAGTTACCTTTTCACATCTTAAAGGGTGAGAACTCAAACTCGCAATCGATGTAGGCTAAGAAGTAGGTAAAAAAAAAAGCATTCGATGTACTCGAAGATAAACTTATTACTTTATTTTATAAGAAATTTATATAATTTACGTCCCATTCCTTCTTAAAATAAGCTAATGTTAAGTAGAACTGGAGCACTATCCCTGACCCTCGACATAACTTTTTAATGGGAATTTATCATAACCATGGCGTGACAATTCTTCCATACATCAATGTCAACACGATAATTAATCATAAAATCTATATTTAATCGGAAATTTTTATAAATTTCTTATATATTTTAACATTCTTAATACCTATCCTTTTAGTATTCGTTTCGACCTTTATGTAAAGATGTTTAAGAAATAATTTAAAAAAAAAAATGACAGGAGAATGAAATCATATTTCTTATTTAAAATTTATTTAAGATTAAATTTATATAACATTGTAACTGAGTCATAACAAATTTCACTGAATGATAAATAAATGCTACTACCGATGAATATATAATTTTCTAGTTTTGTTTCCTGAATGGTCGCTTCCTTGCAAGGTTAGCGAATCGTACAGGAAAGCCGAACTTTATACATTTTTAACTATTTTTTTTTAACTTAATGAATATTTCTTAAATTAAATAATAATAAAAACATTAAATATAACAAATTACGAGTAATTTAAGAATAAATTTATAAGAATAAATTACAAACATATGGCCTAAATGAATATAAATTATATAGATCGAGAGATAATTGCCTCATTGATAAATTACAAGTTGATCCATCATCTTCTTTTATTTATCTCTGTATTAAAAAAGAAGAAGAAGAAATAAAATAAAAATAAATAAATAAAATTCTTCTTTATATAAACAACTTCAATTCGAATTTATCTTTAAAAATTCCATACAACATATTTTATTTTTAACATTGAAATAAAGAATGATTTATAAAGGATATAAATCTTTAATTATTATTATTATTTTTTTTTAATTTATAATTATTTTAAAATAATAAATTAAAGGTTCACGTTCTCATAAATTAAGAACGTGTTAAATTTTTAGGAGTTAAACGTAATAAATAATATAAAATAATATTAAAGTAATTTACTGTATAATGCTTAAGCAATGCTTTCTTTTTTTTAATCAAATAAATTTACCATTCGAAACTCGTTTACAACATAAACTTGTCTGCTGTAGAGTTCAATTGCCCTGGATGCTTATCGTGTTCAACAGCTCATACTCGTGCACTTTAACTTATTAATAAGATACCTAATGATACTCGAAATATGAAGATTATGCGCTTGAAGATCTTTTGATAATGTGTTGAATGTGATTATGAGCTATTGTGGCAAGTCTACTTGTCTAAGTAGCTATAAATTTTCAATTTATAAGGTAAGTTTAACGTTACACTTTATTATTTTCGTTTTTATTTAATCTTCATCAATGTATAAGTGATTTTATATTGTAGATTTTGACGTTAATTTATATGGTTTTTTTTTATAGTAAATTTTTAAACATTAAATCATTGATAAAAAGTAGAGTAAATATAATAATTTTTAAGTAATATAAATACTGGAAGATCTTAGATTTCATGCATCTTTAACAGCAATTTATGATTGAATCAGTAATGTTTTTTATTAATTTAATTATAATTCTTCTTTAACATCTTAATTAATAACTATAAAGAGAATAATAAAGGTTATTGTCATCTCTTTGAATGCCCTTTAACGTCCTTCAAGAGACACTTTCATCAAGAATTTTAAGCATATTTTCCTCGGAAAATCTAGAAAATAGTTGTGTAAAAGTTTGTAACTCATTCTAGTTGTTTGAAATCGTAATTATCTGTGTTATTGTCAATTATTTTGAAATTTTGATAGCATCTGTTCCACAGCATCCTGTTAAGGAGTCATCTTTTAGAATGAAGAATGGTCAAGATGCTGGAAATCAATGATTTAGAGCATCTTCAATATAAAATCGTAGTTTTTTTTTGAATAGATTAATATCTGAAAGTGATTTTTCTTAAATTTATATGTTGTAAGTTTAATGGATCTGAAAATTCTTAATAAAAATATTGTGTGAAGAACCTTTAAGGTGCTTTGAACATTCAAAGATGTGAAACCAATTGTATGCTGCAAATGAAAACAAATTTTATTATTCTCTACTTAAATATTAATTAAGAGTTTAAAGCAGAAGTATAATTAAATTAATAATCCAAGAATTATTGTTGATATACAACATCATAAATTTCCCAGTGTCGTATATGTAATACTGACCCACATAAAAAACATATTAATGTTTACATTATAAACAAGAATAATCAATAATTTATTAAAAATTCTGTTTGAAAATTTAATTAATTTTATTATTATCAAAGCTTATTTATCGTATATTTGTGAGACCTTACTCCAATTAAAGTTTTATTTATTAACATACTGAGAATGACCAAATAAAATATATAGAGCTAAATTCTACGAATGAAAAAAAAAATAATTTTTATTCTTTATTAACATTTAAATGGCGGCGATACTTTGATTTTTTAATTAAAAGTATTTAACGCTCACGCAAAAGACGAGTCCTTGACATCCTACCGGATGCTGTGGAGCAAATACCTTGAAAATTTCAAAACCATTGACGAATAACACGGATCCTTTATTGATTTAGGACAGAACAATGCAAGGACTTCTATTATAACTATTTTATAACAATTTTTATGCATTACTATGAATGGCACGTGCAATAGTTTTGTTTTTAATCTTCATTTAAGGTCGACAACTACAAAACGTGGCGATTTACGTAACAGCTCCACCCCATCGTATCCATTGGTATATAATGCAATAAATCATATATTTTTCTACCATTTTAATTGTCAAGATCCTAATTAATATTACGTGTAGGAAGAGCATAGTAGGGAGTGTACGAATTTGCAACACACAGTTGGTTGCACATCTTCCAACGCTCCAAACACCTCAAAGGTCCTTCACACGATGTTTACAGTAATAAGTACCAGCATATTCAATTATTTTCCACGAAGATTAAAAAAAAAATAACACTATGCAAACCATTAATTTAGTTCTTATTATATCACACAATCTCTTCTTTTGATCCTTGACCATCATTCTTGAAATCCATTGAAAGTTGTTGTTTGTAGATGAAGTTGGCTCTCAAGAAAGGTTGAGAAATGTTCGTTCTATGTCAACAAATGTATCATATTTATATCTGATGGACGTGATGTGAAAAAAATTCACCAAAACTCGCTAGAGAATCCCTGAGTGATGACCGGAAGTGGAGGTTCACCCCTGCGAAAGGGCATTGCATCTTGTTCCCATATGTAGGCGCGACCTTGTCGAACGACTCGAAGGAAGCAAATGGTGGATAATTACTAGTGTGGTTTACTAGTGTAACAGGTTAACCCGCCAAAACAGTTTATTATTATTAACGAGTTAGAATCGTTTGACCTATAGGGTTTGACTTTATGCAAATGGCACAATTCAACTTGACAGTTCGATTGTCCACCATTTAAACTTAAATTACGACTTTCTACACGTTTACACCTCAATTTTGAACCTGTCAGCGATGTTTAACATTAGAATTCTTTAATTTCAGATTCATAACGGGTATAGAAAAGTAGTCATAATCAGGAAGGTGAAAAAAGTCACTCGACAGGTGAGAACCAATGCACCCTCAACTAGATTCAGATGAGAATTCAAAGTCGCAGGAAGTTGTACTAACCTTGAGATTAACTTTCTCACATGGCCTACCTGTAACTACGTTAAGTAACCTTCCCTACAGCATCACATTCTCACACTTTGCACGAAAACATTCACATGAGACACACAAACATTGACTTCCTTTCTTTGTCCTCATTCCTACTATCACTTTCATATCGTAAGAAAGTATTTGTAAGAGCCATTTAGGTAAGCAACATTTTGACTTTTGAGTAATATTTTAGACAAGATAATAAATTTTATATGAAAATTTTCCTTATAAATAATATAAAATGTTATTTTCTCACGAGAAATAATTTTAAATTCATAGTAGAAACTTCTAGCGGATGCTATTAACTATATACAAGTTATATATCAATATATTAAAACAGGAAAGTTGTAAACTTAGAAAGATAAAAAAAAGAGGGAAAATTTGTTCGTGTTGGACCGGTTTTTACGATGATTTCAACATTAAAACATCGATATTTAATAAGGACATATAATATTACAAATATAATTAATTATTAAGTCGACTAATGAAGTTTTTAAATTAAATTTAATAAAGGAGAAATTCGATTTTTCTAGGCGTTAGGAATGAATTTATTTATACATAATTCTGTCAAATAAATAATGTTGTCTTGCAGGTTAAATTTCATTAATAAAAAAAACGAGAGGATGAAAAAAATGAACAATAGATTAATCACGTTCTTAAACCTGTTCGCGTTTAATTTATGAGATTTATTATTTTATAATTAAAGTAAATTAACCTAAAAACTGAATATTTGAGGTTTTAATTTAATGGAGTTTTGACGTGTTTTTTTTATAAGTTCTTTAAATTTTTTAATGATTTTTTTTGGGAATAATTTTGCTTTTTTTTTGTCTTTTTCTTAGCTAATGTAGCCAAATATTATGTTTTTTAAAAATATATCTTTTAGTATTTAAATATGTTATGAGTCAATTTTTTTGGTATGTATTCGTATCTAGAGAATGTCCATGGCTCCTTAGGATCCTGTAGATGTAAATGCAGATAATAACGTCTCCTTAAGAACATCTAGATATGAATACCCACTACAAAAACGGCTCTTTAGGATCTTGTTTATGAATACCCACTACAAAAATGGCTCTTTAGGATCTTGTTTATGAATGCCTAGGGCAAAAATGGCTCTTTAGGACCTTGTTTATGAATGCCTAGGGCAAAAATGGCTCTTTAGGATCTTGTTTATGAACGCCTAGGGCAAAAATGGCTCTTTAAGATCTTGTTTATGAATGCCTAGGGCAAAAATGGCTCTTTAGGATCTTGTTTATGAATACCCACTACAAAAGATGGCTCTTTAGGATCTTCTATTTATGAATAGCTATTGTAGAAATGGCTCTAAGATCTTCTAGTGATTAATGCTTATGACAGAAAAGCCTACTTATGATTTTTTAAACCTATACCAGCACATTTTTACCTTATAAACATTTAAAATAGATACTTAATATAAAATTTAAGCACTGTTTAAGGTTACTATATTACATAACAGATTCCTACGTGTTACTTTTGAATTAAATCTAATGCTTTTAATTATAGTAATCACTTTGCTTAACGGTTTAAACAATTCTAGACTTTGTGAATTAGGTCAAGTTCTATTTATTTCAGTTTTTCCTCGTCTAAAGTTATAATTTATTCCCCACACTTTTTAAAGTAGAATTAAACAGCTACAAATTAATTTTTTTTAAAGAGAATTCGTAATTGCCAGCCATTACACGATAAAGTTACGTAGACGAATATGCTAAGTTAGTGACGTTTTATATGCAATTTGGGATATTTACAAGTGTCAAGAGACTCGAAACAAACAGTAGAATGCCTGAGATGTTTGAAGATCATTTCCCACACTGACAAAAAGAGTTTTAGTGCGTTTAGAAGGTATTTTCACGGATGATATACCCTGTTATGGTCCTAGATATGTCGAACTTTGTGACCAAGTTTCTGCTTTGACGACTCACCTACTCTATGTTTTAAAAACAATACTAGAAGATGCTTCGTGATTGAAATTGTAAGAGGAATAAATTTGTATGGAGAGCAAAAAGAAGTTTGCTCCATGCCAATGCAAACATTGATATGAATTATTCATATTGCTATGTTTTTACTTATGTTTGCATGTTGTAATACATATTTAGTATGTTAAATTTGTTAACGTTCTATAGACATAGATGGTATGCAGCTTTATAAACTGTTAATTTGCAAATTTAATTAGTAAAAGGTAATTGTCTCTGTTGCTCGTTAATGTAATGCAGCAACACGGTTGGCTTACATTAACATACAATATGCGATGACTTATTCATCTAAATCTTAAAAAATTAATTAATTTATTATGAAAATAAATCTTTTAAATTTTAATTTAAGTTTAAAAGTTATATTTTATAAAATAAATTTAATTTTTTTAACAAAATAATTTCATTAAAAGTAACTTTTAACCTATAAAAGTGGTATTTTTTTTGTGTTTTTTCTCTTAAAAAATAAAGAAAAATAGGTAAAGAAGATTCGGATTTTATTTATAAAATTTATTTTATTGTTTCTCATAAAATTACAGAAATAATTTCCTAAAATATTGATAATACAAAGCGAAAATTCCCACGAATATCTCAAGACGAAGTGTATTGCACTCTGATAGACTCCTATTAGAAACACATTAAAATTTAAATTGGTATAGTCTAGTTTGTAGATTAACTATTAAAAAAATAATAAATTAAACTTAAAAATTAATTAATTTTGAAGTCAAGTTCGAAGTATAAAAGATTTTATAACGAAAAAAAAAGTATATAAAATTTCGGTACTTTTCATTAACCGGATTAATCCTGTGATAGAACGAAGTGTTGCAAAGGGGGGATAACAGGTTTTTTTCTTTCTTTCTAATATCTACTCGAGTCGAGCAGCAATAAAGTTAATACTATATTCAGTGAACTTAGTAATAGTTGACGTGACGTGTTTGGATAAGTGTAGCATCTCATTGTGCACCGATAGCGCCAAGCCTTTCTTTGTTGTTAACCCCAACTTTCGTGAATCCCCCCTTTCAAACAGTGAAAGAATCTATTTAAGTAAAACTGGATATTTGAATAGCCACCGAAATTTGAGATTTCTAACACGTAAAGAACCTCTAATACGTAGAAAGATTTAAGTATAGAGTACAATGTGTACCCTTTATCATATGTCTTTTCTGGATAGAAAAAAAAGGGTGTTTAAAATTCTCTTCGAAGGTTAGAATGGATTAAGTTTGTTTAAAAGGATCCTAAATTAGTTAAATTATTCCTCTTGTTAAAAAAAGTGTTCATTACGTTTACTCATCTCTGGTCAAAAATCTAATTAAAATTAGTGTTTTAATGTTCACGTCTTAATGTTTTTTTTTTTTTTTTTTTTACAGTTTTGTATATGGAAGAATCCCCGCTCTTGAAGAAGGGAAAGATGTCCTTGGGATATGTAATTATTTAAAACAATAAGAGAATGCTTAGGTCATAGAATTTTCTATAACAAATACATACAATTTGCACGGCATTAGTCTAGGAGCCATCGAGCACGAGTGGGTAGCACATTGCTCACGAACATTTAATGAGATGTTTGGTGGTCGACCCGCTAAATAATGACTGGTACTTCAGGCCACCCATCGAGATGGTGTAAAATATCCATTAAGAATAATGGGAAACACGGTCTTTGGGAAGTAAGTTTCAAGTAAATCAAGGATTAAGGATTAAGAATTATTTTTAATAAGGATATTAATGATAATTAAATTGTTCTGTATTGTCTTAATGAAGTAATATATTTTGGTATTCATAAGATAAGAATCGAGAATTTTTTAAAATATTAATTACTTTGATTTTAATAATTTATCATGTTGATTTATAGTTTGATGAGAGTTAATTATAAATTTAAACCATTTTATCTACTTGTCGAGTTTATTAAATTATCTTATTTTATGAACCATTAAATAGTACTTCACGTTAATGATTATGTCTGTCTCACTTATCGGCTCATCTTTGAAAAAATTTTCAGTGTTTTTTTTTATTATATAAATTATAAAATGTGTTCTATAGAAGGGATATTTTCTTATTTTNTAAGATTAGCATAATTGCAATAGAATTTAATTTGCAAACAATCAAACCGAAAACAAAGTAAAAATACAAATAAATAAATAAATAAAAAATGAAGTGGAATGTTTGATCAAAAGATATCAACTAATCATTAAAATGATATCACTCAACGAATTATTTATGTTATATCTATGAAAGAAATAAAAAGTATGAAGTTCCAAGCACGTGTTTAACTTTAAATTGCGTGCCTTCTTGTATATCTTTAACCAATTTCATGATACATAAATAAGAACTGGTCAAGGTTATCAATTATTTATCGAACGAACACAACATTTTTACACTCTTTTTTTTTCGATAATCATGTTTAACAATTGTTAAATTTTAGCTCACTTCCTCTTCTAACAGGTTTCATTGTCATTTTTATAAGCCAAGAAAGATAAATAAATCGAGAAAAATTAAGTTTTCGAAAAAATTATATGTTAAGAGCATTTTCCACTTTATCTTCTGAGAAAATCTGCATATAATCGTTCAGATTTTTATTCTCCTAACAGAAAAAATAAGTCATTAATATTATTTTTATTAGATTTTCTAAATAGATAGGAATTTTTATCAATTTTTCCTACGTAATTTCAGATCAGAAAATACCTTTTTTTTTTGTGTATAAATTAGACAAGACATGAGCACTTTTATCAAAGAAGAAAGTGTAAACTGGTATAGACTAGTATAAAGAATTATTTTTTAAAATCAAATATATATATCATCTAAAGAATTATGTGTCCCTTCTATTAAAATAACGATTTAAATCTAATTTTTGCTAATTGATTTCGTATTAAAATTTTTCCTATTGGCAAACGTTCAAGGTTATATTATTAAATTTGTAAGGTAGGATTCCACGTAACCTGCTCGACTCTTAGTAATTACTAAAGGTGAATTTGTGCTGTGAGAACATTTTAAGATGACACTTGGGAACCTAAATTTATTTTTTTTATTAATAAATTACCTCATCCTAGTTCCGTTGGGCGGTTATTTTGATAAAACAAAGTTACCTTTTCACATCTTAAAGGGTGAGAACTCAAACTCGCAATCGATGTAGGCTAAGAAGTAGGTAAAAAAAAAAGCATTCGATGTACTCGAAGATAAACTTATTACTTTATTTTATAAGAAATTTATATAATTTACGTCCCATTCCTTCTTAAAATAAGCTAATGTTAAGTAGAACTGGAGCACTATCCCTGACCCTCGACATAACTTTTTAATGGGAATTTATCATAACCATGGCGTGACAATTCTTCCATACATCAATGTCAACACGATAATTAATCATAAAATCTATATTTAATCGGAAATTTTTATAAATTTGTTATATATTTTAACATTCTTAATACCTATCCTTTTAGTATTCGTTTCGACCTTTATGTAAAGATGTTTAAGAAATAATTTAAAAAAAAAAAAATGACAGGAGAATGAAATCATATTTCTTATTTAAAATTTATTTAAGATTAAATTTATATAACATTGTAACTGAGTCATAACAAATTTCACTGAATGATAAATAAATGCTACTACCGATGAATATATAATTTTCTAGTTTTGTTTCCTGAATGGTCGCTTCCTTGCAAGGTTAGCGAATCGTACAGGAAAGCCGAACTTTATACATTTTTAACTATTTTTTTTTTAACATTAAAAAACATTTAAATCCTGTTAAAATTCACGACTTTTAACGATGATAAACGAGAGGGAAATTGTTTAAAATGTTTAAATCACACGGGAAAAACTCTATTCATAACCTTAATTAGTTGTTTACTTTTAAACAAGATAAGAAGAAAAGTCATTTTACAATTAACTACAACTCTTTGATTTATAACCGGAACTATTATTACACGAGTCATTAATTACATAAATTTATATAAAAATTTATATTTATTCTATTGATACTTACTAGTTTTAGTCGAGTTTCTTATGATTGAAGTGCTGGTTACGATCTCCTTTCCGTGCCAGCTCAGCATCTCCAAATGCAACTCATCTGACAAGCGTAGTGTGGTGCTGGTGGTGATGGAGTCACGTGGTATATAGGGCTATCTAAAACAAAGAAGTTTCAAGTAAAATTTTAGAAGATTTATGATATTATTTAAGCTACAGTAATCCANGTATAATGCTTAAGCAATGCTTTCTTTTTTTTAATCAAATAAATTTACCATTCGAAACTCGTTTACAACATAAACTTGTCTGCTGTAGAGTTCAATTGCCCTGGATGCTTATCGTGTTCAACAGCTCATACTCGTGCACTTTAACTTATTAATAAGATACCTAATGATACTCGAAATATGAAGATTATGCGCTTGAAGATCTTTTGATAATGTGTTGAATGTGATTATGAGCTATTGTGGCAAGTCTACTTGTCTAAGTAGCTATAAATTTTCAATTTATAAGGTAAGTTTAACGTTACACTTTATTATTTTCGTTTTTCTTTAATCTTCATCAATGTATAAGTGATTTTATATTGTAGATTTTGACGTTAATTTATATGGTTTTTTTTTATAGTAAATTTTTAAACATTAAATCATTGATAAAAAGTAGAGTAAATATAATAATTTTTAAGTAATATAAATACTGGAAGATCTTAGATTTCATGCATCTTTAACAGCAATTTATGATTGAATCAGTAATGTTTTTTATTAATTTAATTATAATTCTCCTTTAACATCTTAATTAATAACTATAAAGAGAATAATAAAGGTTATTGTCATCTCTTTGAATGCCCTTTAACGTCCTTCAAGAGACACTTTCATCAAGAATTTTAAGCATATTTTCCTCGGAAAATCTAGAAAATAGTTGTGTAAAAGTTTGTAACTCATTCTAGTTGCTTGAAATCGTAATTATCTGTGTTATTGTCAATTATTTTGAAATTTTGAAAGCATCTGTTCCACAGCATCCTGTTAAGGAGTCATCTTTTAGAATGAAGAATGGTCAAGATGCTGGAAATCAATGATTTAGAGCATCTTCAATATAAAATCGTAGTTTTTTTTTGAATAGATTAATATCTGAAAGTGATTTTTCTTAAATTTATATGTTGTAAGTTTAATGGATCTGAAAATTCTTAATAAAAATATTGTGTGAAGAACCTTTAAGGTGCTTTGAACATTCAAAGATGTGAAACCAATTGTATGCTGCAAATGAAAACAAATTTTATTATTCTCTACTTAAATATTAATTAAGAGTTTAAAGCAGAAGTATAATTAAATTAATAATCCAAGAATTATTGTTGATATACAACATCATAAATTTCCCAGTGTCGTATATGTAATACTGACCCACATAAAAAACATATTAATGTTTACATTATAAACAAGAATAATCAATAATTTATTAAAAATTCTGTTTGAAAATTTAATTAATTTTATTATTATCAAAGCTTATTTATCGTATATTTGTGAGACCTTACTCCAATTAAAGTTTTATTTATTAACATACTGAGAATGACCAAATAAAATATATAGAGCTAAATTCTACTAATGAAAAAATAATAATTTTTATTCTTTATTAACATTTAAATGGCGGCGATACTTTGATTTTTTAATTAAAAGTATTTAACGCTCACGCAAAAGACGAGTCCTTGACATCCTACCGGATGCTGTGGAGCAAATACCTTGAAAATTTCAAAACCATTGACGAATAACACGGATCCTTTATTGATTTAGGACAGAACAATGCAAGGACTTCTATTATAACTATTTTATAACAATTTTTATGCATTACTATGAATGGCACGTGCAATAGTTTTGTTTTTAATCTTTATTTAAGGTCAACAACTACAAAACGTGGCGATTTACGTAACAGCTCCACCCCATCGTATCCATTGGTATATAATGCAATAAATCATATATTTTTCTACCATTTTAATTGTCAAGATCCTAATTAATATTACGTGTAGGAAGAGCATAGTAGGGAGTGTACGAATTTGCAACACACAGTTGGTTGCACATCTTCCAACGCTCCAAACACCTCAAAGGTCCTTCACACGATGTTTACAGTAATAAGTACCAGCATATTCAATTATTTTCCACGAAGATTAAAAAAAAAATAACACTATGCAAACCATTAATTTAGTTCTTATTATATCACACAATCTCTTCTTTTGATCCTTGACCATCATTCTTGAAATCCATTGAAAGTTGTTGTTTGTAGATGAAGTTGGCTCTCAAGAAAGGTTGAGAAATGTTCGTTCTATGTCAACAAATGTATCATATTTATATCTGATGGACGTGATGTGAAAAAAATTCACCAAAACTCGCTAGAGAATCCCTGAGTGATGACCGGAAGTGGAGGTTCACCCCTGCGAAAGGGCATTGCATCTTGTTCCCATATGTAGGCGCGACCTTGTCGAACGACTCGAAGGAAGCAAATGGTGGATAATTACTAGTGTGGTTTACTAGTGTAACAGGTTAACCCGCCAAAACAGTTTATTATTATTAACGAGTTAGAATCGTTTGACCTATAGGGTTTGACTTTATGCAAATGGCACAATTCAACTTGACAGTTCGATTGTCCACCATTTAAACTTAAATTACGACTTTCTACACGTTTACACCTCAATTTTGAACCTGTCAGCGATGTTTAACATTAGAATTCTTTAATTTCAGATTCAT